CTGGAGTAAGCTCCGCTGCACACCTCTTCAGCACAATCAAGTCCGGACCAGAAGCTTTGTTGGGGTGTTGGGGGGTGTCCATGGTGGAGTTGGCAGCAAAGATCTTGGCAAGCACTTCAGCCTTGGCTTTCGAGTCAGTTACAATCGTTCCATCCTTACACGTAAGTGGTGGAAGGCTACTGTGTGAAAGGTTCTTTTCAATCTGCTTGGCCAGCGTCCAGAAAGACCGACTTCCATTTGGCTGCGACATTACCTTGCCAAATCAGACATACCTTTCATCATTTTCAAATAAATTGTACAAAATCTTCAAATTTGTCAAGTTGGTGAGTTTCACTTCATACGTTGTTACCAGACATGCCCAAATCATCAGTTGCTGCCGTCGATAAGGTATTTTCCCATTGGTCCAAAGGACCGTTAAATATTAATGTTGTATGACAATAAAATTTCAAAACAAAGTATCTAATTTAACTTTATTTACATTATAGATAAGAATTGTTTCAATATTTGGAAAGAGCAGATTGTTGTCCTTTACAAGAGGTTTTTTACTATTACTGACTTAAGTGTATCTACTCAACAATGTTCTTCCTGGATTTCTGTAAGAGTCACTAAAACGAGTTACTGTCTTTTGCCATTGCACGGTAGACATAGGTGTATTCTAGTTGAATGAACACAGTAAACTGATGCTCTATTATCAAGTTCCACACCATATAAAATTTGTCCGCTTGTCATCTGAACACCGGCTCAACAAACCGGCGGCGGCGGCACAGCGACACGGGTCGGATCTCGTAATCTGAAATAAGCCTTAGTTTTTGCGTCATCTTAAGAGAAAAAACAGGCTATGAATTAGTGACTGTTCTCCGTCTGAAATACTTATCTGTTTGATTTGTCGTCCATTTCGCCCACGACTACTAATTAATTTCACGCTCCACCCAGGCGTTATGGGGATATATATAAACAAAGGATTTTCTTTTTTTGATATCGCGTGCCGATCCTTCATTTTCGTTATTAATGAAGTTGTTAATAATTTGCAGAGCTCTATATTTTCCGCTCCCCGCGGAGCTGGACGTTTTGATTTATCGTAATTCTAGTCGTGTCTTAGAAGTGAGACAAGTCAGATAAGGGGGCAATATGCAGATTTATTGAAATGAGCTGGGGTTTTATATAGAATGTTCTAGTCATTAGAAGGCGAGCTACTGCATACTACGAAGCATAAATTTAAATAACAATTTACTGGTATGTCTCCGAAAGATGAGGGAACGCTTTTTATTTCTCATGTCAATACGAGAGGTTGGATTTGCTACGTCAAAAACTTTTTTGAAATAAATGAAAATAATTCAGTCTTTTTGTTATGTTGCATTTATCTATGATACCGCAAAGCCCATCAGCTTTAGATTGGAAAACTACGTCCTACCTCAAACAGATTCCACCCCTAAACTCATCAGCTTACTCAGGAGGAGCTTGAAATAAGTAGTAGACCACAAAGAAACGAGGTCATTAGATGATTATTCAGCCCTAAAAGCAATTTAAACTGTGCGTTGATCACATCTACAAAATGTTTACAATTAAATGTTTTAGAACGTTACAAAGGCTTAGTGTGAATTACTAAAACAAAAATAGATATGTTAATAAAAGCTCAAAATACATAGGTCTCAAAATATTTAAATGCCAACATTTTTCATATGCAATCATCTTGAGTTTTGAAATTACTTTGAGGATCGAGAAACACACCACGATGGATCCTGATCCTGTGTTCTGTATGCTTCCTGTTGTGTGTCTAGAAGTACTGATGATTGCTGGCAAAGATGAAACAGTGCCATAGGTTGTTCAGTACTGGACGGAAAGCGAACATTGTCAGTTCAGCGGACCATTTTATTTTCCACAGCGGAATTTGGCTCAAACAAGTCTTGTAATAATGAATGAATCCATTTTGCTGTTCCAGAATCGACTGTGCAGTCTTTTTGAACAATGCATTACCATCTTACTAATTTCTGTCGATCTACTTTTCTGCCTCGATTTATCTGGCAATGAGTTGTATAATAAAACAAAAAACATTACTCAGTAATTCGATTATTTCATCTATCCCGCAACTAAAGGGATAATACCATTTGTTATAGTGACATTCCACCATCTTTACATGGTCTCTCTACCTGAGTGGGAAGTCATAGGAATAACTATTTTGACATTTTATTTCGGAGAATACCTTGATGGAAGATGCTACCCTACCAAATTTCAATTACAAGGTACAGATCATAATAATTGGATCCAGAAGCTACATGCACATTACGGAGTGCTGTTATAACTAAATAGCTCATAAAGTCAAATGTTGGCCATACGCTGTCCTACCCTTCCGCAAAATAAACAACCGACAACCTAAATTCAACAAAACTTACAAATTTTAATAATAGACTTTTAGCCCGGATCTCTCCAGAATACAGATGAGCTCTAATTAGTCCCCCAGAGAGCGCACCCTACCAATTTACTGAACATGACGAAAGACCACATCGAAAACGGTAGCATGCATATGAACTGCGGTATATGAAACCATTATACAGGGTGACTCAAGATTAAACAGACCTATGACCTAAATAATTTAGAGCATTTCGACATGGAAACATTTCATCGTACACATATACAGGGCGTTACTTGATGATAGGCTCTAATTACAAGCACGAATTCCTAAGCTAAATTTAAGGAGAGATAACAGCAAACCACAAAAAATCGCGTCTTTGAAATACCGGATCTAATGAATATGGTCGACTTTTTGTAAAATGTCTCTCAAGCTAGATATTAGGTTTGTATAAACTGGGCCCCTAATTTTCATACCAAATCAAGAAACACGTCATAAATCACTCGGTTTAGCTGCAAAACCTATTTTTCCATTTGTGTTCGGACACTAAATTAGCAGCAATGGTCATAGAATGCGCCAATGAAAAATAAGCATTTGCGTCATACCAGAAGCATGGACACAAATCAATCAATCTAGATTGATATGACAGCAATTATATGAGCACTTTATTGAAGACAACGGTATCTCACTGTGTCGGTGCAAAATTTTGCTAGGTAAATCATTTGGAGACATAAATATAATCACAGAATGTTCAATTTTTGACAAACATCGAGTAGATATTCAATTTACTTGACTACCCTGCGAAAAAACGAGTTTCTTAAGCCAGCCCTCTTAACATGGGGCTCTTGCGCCATCTACTGGGAAATGGTATGACTACTTTACGCTTTGTCTTCTTCACCGAGGTGCGACATCTCCCTGTTAGCAGTAAGAGAGAGGGCAGGCATGAGAAATACGCACGGTAGTCAAGTAATTTGATTGTCTACTCGATTTTTATTAAAAAATAAGCATTCTGTAATTTCATTTATGCCTTCAAAGGATTTATTAAGCAGAGTTTTGCACAGCAACAGCGATAAAATGCTCAGTAATGGCGTCATCAATCTATTGTATCAAGTTTGATCCATGCTTCGAATAGGTCCCTAATCCTCACTTTGATTGATGGAACTTAGATCAACTTTTTTGTCGGGACACAAACGAAAAATAAGTTTTTGTAGCTCAATCATGTGATACGTGGAGTATTTCTTGATTAATAAGAGAACTAGGAACCCATCTTACAGAAATCATAAAAATTTTCTTTATTTTGAAAGACAATTTAAAATAAATTGACTAAATACAGTACTTGGCCCAATTATGCAAGGGGTGGATATTTTGATTCCCGCGGATCAATAGTAAGATTTGAGCTAGGAGTCTGGCTTCTAAGATAAAGAAATTTATTAATATGTCAAAGAAGCTTGTGGCAATTTTGTTGAACCTTGCAGCATTGATCATTGCGATGGGACGCTAAATTAGCAACTAAAAAATGAAATTTTTGATGTATGTGAAATCGTTTGGCACTTGATGAGAAAGAAAGAGGAAGCCTGCATAGAAACCGAGAGTGGTTATTTCCAACAGTTTCCAAAATATTCTGTCAGATTTTGATCACTTTTAGTTCCTTAGATTTCTAATATAGTAATAAATAAATATGTACTGCAGAAACTAGCTTCAATTTTTCAACAAAGTAACATAAAAAATGTAACTTTATTTGTTTAACGCACTTTTTCTTGGAAATCAGCATTTTACATCTTTTCTGGAGCTTATAATAATTATTTCCTGATTATTACTAACTTGATAATTTATTGCAGTGAATAACACTGGCAAAATTCAAAAATAGGCACACAGGTCTCGGAGATATGAATGCAAAACTAGCTTTTCTTAAACTTCAACACTCTGTGCCTTGGATACTTTTTATCATCACAAACTTATATGAACTGTTCTATTTGATCTTGGTTTAGGAATGCCCACCTGTAATTAGAGCCTATCATCAAATAATACCCTTTGATTTATGAGGAAAAATAAGGGCGCCTTTGTAACGGAAAATCAAGGTACTAAATTTTAAATTTCCTGGCATGTAAAAGATTAATTCTTTAGAAATACTCCTCTGTCGTAGTGTAGAAAAGGTATATGGCATAAATATTTACGAATTTGCGGAAATGAGATAATCTGAAATCTTAGTAGGATCTGGAATATTACAACCTTTTACGTGTGAAGTCACTATTGTTTATTAAAAAATATGCAGGTTTCATTTTTACTAATTCTCCGAGTGTCAAATGGATCTCCTGACATTCTAGAGCCACCATATTAAGGTTTTTTGAGATGCTTACCTCAATTTCGTGCTAAAGCGCAGTGTGCTTTGCAAACAAGTGAAACTGTGGCAACGTCTGCAGATTATTCATAGCTTCTGTAGCACCCCAAAGGGGAATCCTGGCTTAATATTTTGCTATAAAGCATCTCGAAGAGTACAATTATTACTCTGGAGTATGAACTGCACGAAAAACTTCGGTTTTGCTAGTACCTAAGTCTACTTCCTCGTCTAAGAGCCAATCGGCGAGACACAGGTGGGCGAACCCTTTACAAGGATTTATAAGACAACTAAATGGGAAAAGCTGAAAAAACTTACTCGATTTATTTGTGTCGCATTTGCAGGTGAAGCGCAATTTGCAGTAGGTTTTTTTGTGCTCTAGAAGATCTTGCAGCTCCGAGAAGAGTTCCCTGCAATTGCCGCAAATCAGTATGTCTTGGTTACCTGAAAGGACAAGCACTAAATGAGTTGGGGAGTACTTGTAATTAATAATGTATGGAGGTAGGATACAATTTTCTGCTACATCGTTTACACGGTCGGATTAGCTCTTTGTTCAATATTGTCTGGTATTTCAACTAGTTCTAGAGATATGCTGGATGGCACAAAAATCCGAAGCGGAAAAAGCGCATCACTGGCGAGGAAGTATTGCAACCGCGAAGAAAGTCCAAAGTGCGATAATAGCTTTTTTCCCGGACACCTTCATCTTAGCATCGCAAGCGCACTAAAAAAAGGACCGTTCGCGGTGACAAAATTTGTTACTCGGGATTAAAAATTCGTTGTTCGTGGTACAGCTGTGTTAAGTCCTGAACGTGCTCGTAATGTGTTCGACAGATCCGGTGATTGACGGAGGGATTTAAAATTGAGAACAAATCCTAACCTATAATTCTGTGTCTTTGTGATATAAACAAACATTTATCTTAAATCTACTTTCAAGATGATGCCAATGATGCATTTAAGTTCAAGTGACGAAGATTTGGAAGAATCGAAAGAATTGTTTGAAGTTCAAAAAATGAGAACTTTTGTGAGGAAACTGTGCCCCAATTCAACGATCAACAGTTTTTGGGGCATTTTAGGATAAGCAGGGAAGTAGCAACCCAATTATCAAACAGATATGAACCTTCGCAATATTATCACTACCAAAAAGGTGACTCTGAAAAAGTCAGCCCTTTTAAAACAGTTGTGGCCTTTTTATGGTATGCAAGCAATGAAGCTGCAAGCTTAGGGGATGTGTCTGACCGGTTTGGGATTACGATTAGCTCTCTTCATAAAATTGTAAAGAGATTTACCTATTTTTTATCCAATTTGTCTGCGGAATTTATAAAATGGCCAACTAACAAGGAGAAAATTGAAATTGAAAGCCACTTTAGGCAAGACGAATTTCCTGGCATTATTGGCGTCATTGACGGTACACACATTGAAATTGACAAGACACAGGATGATTCAGATTCATACCTTAACAGGAAGCACTTTTTTTCGATCCAAGTAAGAAAGCAAAATTTTAAATTTCAATTTGAATGTTATTCAAGTATGATAACATCCTAAATGTTTATATAATATATTTTATTTTTTACAGGCACAAGTTGTTTGCGATCATAAAATGAAAATAAGGGATATATTTGTCGGATAACCAGGATCCGTACATGACAGTCGAGTGTTTCGGACATCACCATTATTTGGAACACTTCAAGAAAAATGTGGAAACCACTTTATTATTGGAGACAGTGGTTACCCTTGTTTACAATATTGCCTAACTCCATTTCAAGATAGAGGTAATTTGACTCGTGGCCAAAGAAATTACAATTATCTTAGATCTTAGATATGTAATTGAGCACTGCTTCGGCATACTCAAACAAAAATTCAGACAGCTTTACCATTTGAAATTAAGAAATGTCGAATTATGTGTTCACTTTATAAGGGCCTGTACTGTATTGCACAACCTTCCAATAGAAGACAATTTACATGATTTTGAAGTTCCACCAGCACCAGAAGCACAGAATGAAGTAATTGTTAGACAAGCAGGAAATGAAAATCAGGATGAACACACTGGGATAACAAAAAGAAATGAAGTAATGATTAGCTCAAATTTCGTTATTTAGTATGTAATGTGTATGTATTTTTAATAAAAGCTTTTTGAAATAAATTTAACACAGGTAGTGTTAATGAATTAAATAAATAATAAAAAAATAAATAAACAAAAAAAACAACGAAATTCTCTAACTAAAATAAAAACACTGTACAATTTAAAACCTAAATTATACTAATTTAAATTTGATCTAAATAAATATAGAAAAACATAACAAAATTCTCTTAAAATATGTAATTCAAAACTTAACATCTAAATTCTTTGAACAAGAAAATTAAACCCTTTAAAGGATATCAAGGTGTGGATTAGATCTTCCTAAATATTGTTTTATTAATTCATTTTTTTCTGTAGAATGTCATTTTTTCTTTTTTTTTCTGTTAATTTTCTTTCCTCAATTTCCAAAAGTTTGTTGTAAGATTCTTTTCTATCTTTCCGAATTTCAGATAAAAAATAAGAGTCTTGGTGTAATTCCATTTAAAGGATTCCACTTCATCCTGGTCTTGAGAACATGAAGGAAATAGCAGAAACTCTGACAGATCTAACAAAATAGTAATTTTTTAATTATTTATTTATTGATGGGTTAAAAAAAACTTTATCAGACATTTTAAAAAAAATGGGCGACACACTTGCTGGACTTGATAAAAAGATACTTAAATTCAAATAATAAAAATCAAAACAAAAACTCTAACCTTACTTTTGTGCAGAAAGAATTTGGTAGGTTTTGCTGTTCGCGGACATTACAAATTCCGAATTAATTACATCACGCGCTTGCGCATTTAAAACATATCGGAGGTACTTTATTTGTGTTCGGAATATGCTCTGGATTAGCTCCGCGAAAAAAGCTAATATCCTTTTTGGCTGTTACAAAAAACCATGACAACCTGGAGAGTACTACTGGTTTTGATGAAACTATCACATAAGGTCACTGTTATGTCAAGGGCGAAAAACCTTTGTAGCTTTTAAAAATCGGTCTAGTGGCGGCGGACGTACTGGCGATAGAAGAAAAAATAAAGATCGCTCAAGTTTGAGGGGTAAAAAATTGGGTAATGGCGGGTTTTAGCGGGATTTTGACATATATATTGCACGCTTCACCGGCATCTCGTCCATACACGTCAGCTAAATTTAAACCTCACCATATATTTTCCACAACTTTTCCCTTAAGAATGATAGAAATACTTTTATGAACAAAAAGTGCCTGCTATCCGCTGCCGGGGAACATCCACGCGACGGCTTTTTTACCTGAGTAGCCGAGATCAACGACGCATTATAATTTATTAATAATCAGATACGGTGACAAAATTAGGGCTGTAGTGGTTTAGATGTAAAACAACGAATAGACTTTCACTAGTCTCCTGGGAATATGAAATAATTTCATGGAATCAAGCATCTATTTTTAGTATCTTATCGTCAAACAGGTTAAACCAGAGCTACGGAGGTTGTCCTCCATTAGTTAGAAAAATCAGTTAAACTGACAAAACTTCTTCTTCAACGATATTCATGACCAGCTGTGAGGATTCTCATAGCCGGTCAATAGTAAATTCGACAGAGCGTACGAGAACGAGTCAGATACTAAACGTCGTACGTATTCAAGGTATGGCGTTATGTCAAGGTACAAGCATTTTCATAGCCGGTAAACAATAAAGATACCAGCACATACAAAGTTGACTCAGTTACTATGCATGATGCATGCACAAATTCCATTTGTAGGGAATTGCATAGGGAGTGCAGAATTAACATACCTTATGCTGTTTTCTTTTCCAAAGAATCGACCTAATATCGATATTTTGTCTACAAAAAGTATATTTAGTCTAATCATATTAGCAAATTTTTCCGAAATAATTGTAAAGTCCGGTTTTATTGGTGCAAGTTGTTCAAACATCGACGCATAAAATGGGTACACCAGTTTTTGTGGAAAAACTTTTGGTTTGAAAACAAAGAATGAGAAAACGTATTTTTTGGGATTCAATCGAAATTGTTGACAGGAGCGAAAAACAATTTCAGTTTTTCAGGTATATACTTATTATACTATATACTTTGAAGTTGAGTCATTAATTTTCAGATAATGATTGTAGAAGGAAGATAAACCAAAATATGTGTGTAAAAATAAAAAAAAAATTAAAAAAAAAATTTACCTTGTTTTATAAAGTATCCTCCCGACAAGTATTTAGTCACCTGATTCACGAGCCCTTTGTACAACAAAGGCACGAGGAGTTGGTTGCACTCGATTGGGAAACCGATCCGCATAAATCCGTGATGCCGCGTTAATAAGAATCATGTCCACAAGTTCAGCATTTCCGTAAGCATGTGCCATTTTTGATTTCGTTTGAGCCACGCAACAGACACCATTATTCACTCACGCGTTACCGACTGACACTGACTGTATACAACTGAATAAAATAATTGTAAAAACATCGTTCCAAATTCTTTGCTTTTTTGTTTCCGATGCGATGAACCGGTAAGGCGGATTATATCCGTTGTTGCCAAACACGAGCCCATAATATTATTATTGAGACAGGGCGGTACTCAAACTTCCAAAGGGCTATAACTTTGTTACTTTAATTTTACCAGAAAAATGGTAAAGGAAAAAACATTCCGTTTGATCAGATCTACTCACTGTTAAAATAAATGACTCAACTTCGAAGTCACCCTGTACAAAATGAGACCACACGTGAAAAGATCCGACTAATATCAAGAATGTTATGGCCGAAAAAGAGGCAAAATGCAGATTTTGGCACTTGGTACGAGTGATGAGTCGATAATTTCACACAATTACTTGAAAATCTTTAAATCCGTAAGATTCATACCTCTAAATAACAACAACAAGATTGGAGTATAATGGTGGAGAAGTTTTTTGAGAATGTCTAATTGTTTATCCCAAAAGGCCTGTTTTCTGGTAATAACTACTAGTTTATTGAGCAATACTTCGAAGTTGAGTCATTTATTTTAACAGTGAGTAGATCTGATCAAAAGAAATGTTTTTTCCTTTACCATTTTTCTGGTAAAATTAAAGTAACAAAGTTATAGCCCTTTGGAAGTTTGAGTACCGCCCTGTCTCAATAATGATATTATGTTCTCGTGTTTGGCAACAACAGATATAATCCGCCTTATCCGTTCATCGCATCGGAAACAAAAAAGCGAAAGAATTTGGAACGATATTTTTACAATTATTTTCTTCAGTTGTATACAGTCAGTATCAGTCGGTAGTCGGTAACGCGTAAGTGAATTGTCGTGTCTGTTGCGAGGCTCAAATCAAAAATGGCACATGTTTACGAAAATGCTGAACTTGTGGACATGGTTCTTATTTACGGGGAGTCTTTACAAAATGCTGCCGAGGCATCACGGATCTATGCGGATCGGTTTC